ACGCGTGTTACATACGGATTAATTTGCAGACAGTTAAATGTAAGTTTTTATTATAATGAAAGCATCATGAAAAAGGGTGAAAACCGGTATGATAAGTATTACAAAAATTATATTGTTATTGCAATGCATCACCGCTGTACATTACCCAGCTGACTCAAGAAATTTTAATGTCAAACTCACGGGAAAGGAAGTACTGATACTTAAACTTATTTTAATACAGTTATATCAAGGTATTCGTTAATATGTTTGAAGCGATGAAAGCTAGACAAGGCTTTTGAGTGATTAGGTTTCGCACTTTATTTTCTTAGCTTTGCTGAACATAATATTTTTATTCATATTCGTGAAAGAGTTCACTGCAATGAGAACTAAATTGGTTTTTTGACAACAATAGGGCGATCGTTTTGTATCTTAAATAAGCACTTGGGAACTCGTTTAGTCGTGTCATCAAAACATATTTTACAGGTGGGTGATGTATGTATAACATTACGTCATGTGGAAGGTGGTGAAACAAGCGGAACAAGTGTCAGGAGTACCATTCGTCCTCATAGTAGCAGTAGAGGAGGATCAGTACCAGGTACATCTGGCATACAGCAATTTTCGCGGCCTGCATCGTTAGTACAAGCAACTCGTCAACGTTTACCACCTGTTATTCGTGCTGAAAGAAGGCCTGGTGTTCGATCCGCACCGTCGCATGAAATTCCGACCGAGGAGCTGGCATTACTTGACATGCGTCGACGTCTAAAGCGACGTAGACATAAATCAGCGTTGTGATAGTCGGTTTGTACAGCTACAATTTTTATCTTAGGTTGTAAATTAGATTTGATATAATTTAATACAAGCGAAAATTTCATTCAATGAATGCATTTTTTTTGTTTTGAACATTTGAATGATGATTTAAAGTACTCAGATTTTATTAGCAGCTATGAAATCTCTGAATCTCCCCAAAACCATTTTAAATAATTTTGAATTTGAAACTGTGCGTCTTTTTTTTTATTAAGAATAAAAGGTTGCCATAAAAATAATTGCACTTTGAATCGTGTATTTAAAACCGTTATAACTAGTTTGAGCAAATTTTTATTAATCCAAGTATTTTTATTAATTTTTATTTTTTACACAGATTTTTTATAATCTCATCTCTTAAGAATGTAGCATTCCCCATTAACGCTCTTGCTTACTTTTCAAAGCTTTTCGAAACATCATTGCAGTACACACTTGAGTTATCTTGAAATTCAAAGTAGACATTTTTGACTCAAATAATATCTCTTGAAATTCTAATCTGATATTTGGAACTCAAGAAAACCTCACTAATTTGTTTTTTTATAAATCATTTAATTGATTTTGAGTAAGTCAGAGAGAAATCACAGTAGGAAGTTATCAACAAACACGTAAGAAAGAGGTAAGTGTCAAAGTGAAGTGAAAATGGATATTTTTATTTTAGAACGATCTGTGCTAATTTAAAGCAGTAAGATTCAGCAATGTAGAAGACTGAGCAAATTCAGTTTTCAGCTGTTCCTTTTAATGAATTTTTAAAGAATTCAAGTTTTTTTTTTTTTTTTTTTCATTTACTTAATTCAAATTGACATAGATATTCTTTCTACCTCTGAAGAAAGCAGATAGGTGTGGAAAATTTTAAAGTATAAATATCTAAAGCATTATTAGAGAATGAAAAAATTTGCGAAAAGTTTAATACCATTTATTTTGCAGTGTTTCTGTCACATCGTTTGGCTTCGAAATTATTTGCTGTAATGCGAGATTAAAGATCGAACAGTCACAGGGTTGGTTATTTGCTTCTAGTTTTTGCAGAGGACTTCTGGAAACATTTGTTGTGGCAAGTAATAAAAGAGGGTATTATTTATTATTATTGCTCTACCGCTCTTATCATTTTGTCTTTTCTGCTGTTTTTTAGAAATCGTGCATGTATTTGTATAAGATTTTTGTACGATAATTGATAACTGTTAATAATATTAGTCAAAATTGTCATAAAACTTTCCTTTCATCTCTTTTTATTTTTCGATCATTTTTATTATTCATCTTATTCATTTTTTTGTTTAGTACAAATTTTGCTTAGATTAGAAATTCCACTAATAGATTAGAACTAATTGATTACTTTTATAAGCTTTCTTTTCAGTTAGGTGTTTATCTAATGACAAATTTAAAAATTCATCTTAAGAATGATCTGGTTATATTGTAAGGGACGAATTCTATTCTGAAAGAAATAGATTCCTAACAGAAATTAATTAGAGAAATATTATTAGTTCCAGGTTTTATGAACAAAAGTCGATAGTTGTTCATATGAAATTATTGAGCATACTATCTGCTTATCTGCATGTAAAAATTTGTGAAGAATAGTAACAGAAATTCCAAAACTTTTGAAAATTGGGTATTCATCCTTACTCAACATAATATTTTTTTTTCTTTTTTTTTTTGGAAAACCTACAAGAAAGCAAAATTTGCTTCTCTGTCGAATCCATTCTGTCTTTCATTACTTTTTGAACAATTTTCGAAAATATCGAATGGTATTTCATTTTAAGTAGCTTTTCAGAAAAATAGCCTTACCATGTTCATGTTTGGGTAGTGTATTTAGCGGGATTTGCAGTTCATGCGCCTTCAGGGAATTAAAGATAGCGAACAATACTCTATCATTTTGCTTTCATTGAACAAGCTGAGTTTGTATTTCTTCTTTCGAGGATCTTATGTCTGGTTAGGTTTTTTAATTTTCGTTCGGGTTACTTTTTGCATCTTTTTTGCTAGCAGAAGGATGACAGTACATGAATCTAAAATAAGAGGAGAAATACGACTTCAAAAATCTAGTGAGATTTCTGAAACACTGAATTTTTGTATTTGGGAGAAGCATATTTTCATTTCCAAAACGGTATTTCCACGGTTAGAATTATTAGATTTGTTTAGTTGCTGCCTTTTTCATTGTCATTTTAATCTTCTCCAATATAGGTAATAATGCGCACATAGTTTGTCGTGTGTGTATGTTTGAATTTTTTAGCGTTCACTTATGAAGAGAAGAGAATTTCATGATCATTTTGGGTTAAACCCAACTAAAGGCATTGCCTGCAATGCATATGTTGCAGAGAAATAAGTTAGGACAAAGAAGGATAAAAGCTTTTAAAAACTAATCAGAGAAAACAATTTTAAAGTAGGAAATAATATATTTTATTTACAACTCGGGTTTGTTATATAGGCATTTAAATTTCTATAAGGATTAGTCTTTTTTCTATTTGGGAGCACCTTAAAAAAAATATAGGCACATCGAACTTCCGAGTGAAATTATGTTCAGTTTTTCGATTGTAGGTAGCAAGTATAGTAGACGAATCCCTTGTAACGTTCTATCTGTTAAAGCAGTATGTATCGATTTATTTTTTCCAATAATGCGATTAGCGGGTGATCTAGTATAAATGCTTAAAAGATAGTTGGTATTGTATACCTTTTCGGGGTATGCACACTCACTGTCGAACAGTTTTGGTATAATTTATGCCAATGTAATTTCTGTTCGACTTCATTCTTTGTGTCGTTCCGTTTCACAGCTGAACATTATAATTTTCTTTGTGATAGTTACTGTAATATTTCTATTAGTAGTAGGACTGGTAATGGTAGTAGTAGCAACAGATAGATAATAGTGCTATTGGTTTATGAAAACATTATTAACTGATGTTGTAGAGAAAAACATTCTATAATATGGCTGCTTTTTTCAGCAGCAATGGGAAGAAGTGGTAATTTTGAAAAATTCTCTCGTTTTTTCAATCTTTTGCTCTAGCACCCACCATAGGTATATATGTATGTATGTATTATTGTGTTCATTATTAATTTCCGTATGTATTATTAATTTCCATCTCGAATGTGATTTTCAGGGGTTCCTTTTCATTTTTCGATTTTTTGTGTGTTTTTTGTGATTTTTTAAAGTATAATTTTGACTTTTTTTTTGTGTCGAATAAAACCAGGGCTCTAATTATACTGCTTTTCTCAGTATAATTTTTCTTTATCTTATTGAACCAACGGATTTTGTACATTCATTATACATGTCATATATGCTGTATGCAGGTGTACATTGAAAATTAATAATCATATATATATATATATATATATATATATATATATAAAGATGATTTTATATCGGATTAATTGATTAATTAATTTCTGACCAGTTAGTTTATTAATCGCTAATTTCGCACTAATATAGGAAAGACTTATTACATAAGGGAACAATATTTACATGTAATATTTGCTGCGCCTGCCGTTTTACTATTAACCGATTTTACTATTATTTATTTTCATCTTTCTCCCTTGTTTTGTTTCATCTTTCCATTTTTTCTCTATTTCATTTTCCCGGTAGAAATGTTAGTTTTCGTGACTTGCTAACCTTTTCAGATTGCCAAAATATAACTTTCCCACTGATTATATTATTCGCTGTGATAATTTGCCATTTCTGTTTCTCTTATTTTATTTCTCCATCATTTTTTGTTTATGCAGGAGGAGAAATTCATATTTTATCAGAAATTCCTTTGTTAGCTTATTTCTTTCTTTGCTGCATCCTTTCTCTCTTTTCTTCGGTCTATGTATTCAAGTTTCTTTTTCAACGTGGTTTTATTATGTATATCAGGGAAAATTTAAATTGCTTAGAGTAGAATTTTCTGATTAAAGAAATTATTCATTGTGGTTCTTGCATTTTCTGAAAAAAAAATTCATTCCTATGTTTGTATAAAATGAATGGTGCATATGAGCAAAATATATATCACACGAACCTATGAGCAGCAAATGCCAAATATGAAGTCATACCGGCCTACTTTTGGTTCGTATGACTTTACCCAAATTGCATTATTAAAAGTTAAAATTTGGGAATCCCAGTATTTTACCAGCAGTTCTGGTTATATTATTGTGACTATAATACGTACGGATCATTTATGTTTTGTAGAAGCCTTAATGGCATTTGTCTTAAATTCACCACGATTCTTTGTTTTGCCTCATTTTCACTGGCTTTGTGCTTGTGTGACTTATTTATATAGGATCTTTTTCATCCTGTGCATCACTTCCTTGCTTCTTTCTGTAGGGAAAGCCGTCCAGAAAAAATCTAAATACGATTTTTTTTTTCTGAAATGGAAAGAATTTTCAGTTTCTAGCATAAATAATAAAATATGAAATAAGCAAAAGAATTTCACATACAATATGCTAAATGTCAATGTCAAAAATCAGAAAATACTTGGAGTTTTCAGAATCAATTTGAATCTGAAATCCATTTTTGCGAGCGAAAAGAATTTTAATGATTACAGTAAGACATGAGTAATACGATTTTTGCAGGAGTCATCACCAGGAAGCCAGTCGCATGTCGTTTTTTCCATATTCCAGTATAATTTATCTGGACAAGCTTTGGAGACCCATTTCCCATGAGCACATTGGTAAAATTTGTGACAGTCGTTTGGGTCTGCTCTATAACCAGTAGGACCACCGCTTTCCTGAAATTCCTTTTTTTTTTTTCATTGATAAACGCAAATAATACAAAAATACTTAAATGGATTATACACTCCTCTTTAAGAGAGTAATTTTGCATCGGTAATTAATGAAGATTTTAAAAACTAAATTTTTTAAAATTTTTTTAGGGATAATTCGCACCTTGCAAGTTTCGTACCTTTCGCCATCAATAACATTATCTCTTTCACATTCTTCTTTTGCTAGGAATATAAACTAGGCCATAAGGACAGGAATATGATTCGAATTTACCATCACTGCAAATTTGATAAGCAGTGCGGTCCTGTTTATCAGCCTGTATAGTATCTTCAATGCAGCTTCCTTCTGACATGCAAATTGTATCTCGTACGCAATAGCCACGCTTAAAATTTTCTTTTGCTAAAAATAATAAGAAGGAATAAAAGTACAAGAAAGGAATGGAGAAGTATTTCAAAATAATTTAAATTTTATAAAGAGTTTAAAGTTAAGAGAATAGATTGATATTTGCAGTTGTGCAAAGAAACTGTTACAGTCAACAATAAGAATGAATGTCTGTAGGATGCTTAAATGAATGGATACGAGACCTTTTTATCAAATGTTGCACCATTCCAGCAAAATTGCTGTTGAAATCGACCCTGTCTACATATAAAGTAACGCTTACAGTTGATATTATCAGCCAGGACACTACCCTCTTTGCATGATGACGATAGTGCTGATAAGATAGCTGAAAAAGATTGTCATAAATTTGTCGTTTCTGTAGCATTTTCATTTAATCTTTGAATAAAGTAGTTGGAGTAAATTTTCATACCAAATTAATTAATTAACCATACAATGATACTATCTCAAATGATATTGATTGCTACAGTAATGATTGCAATATTCGTTTGTCACATAGCATTTGAATGTTACACCATTTTAATAGCATGAATTAAGAGAAAATAATTAAAAATAAGAAATTAAGAAGAAAAAGAAAAGAAAACTTTTACGAACCATTATTATCATTGTTACAATGTACTGTTTGACAATATCCATCAATGAATTGTCGATTATTTTCACATACTTTCCTCTGCCATGTACCATTGACACAAATTTGATAATGACCACATATTTCACTTTCAATTATTCTTCCATTACGACAACGTGATAAATCACAATGATATCTAAATATGAATTTAAAAAAAAAATTCATTCTTAATTGTCTTTTTTTAAGTGCAATACTAAATCCTAATCACTCAATTTAATTTCAAATGTTTAAAATTTATGAAAGAAAAAGTAGAACAGAAAAAACAAACTGTATTATTATACAATCTTTTTCCTGATAAGCAATAATAATAGTTTAAATTTCTTACTCTCTTTCACATTTTCCACTTTCATCATTAAATTCATGATTACCATTACAATATCGATCCTTATATTCATCCATTGTACATTCAAAATATCGATTACAGTCATATTCATTACGAATTTTACTACCAAACTGACAAGGCTACAACTGTGCTTTCGCTATTTTACAAGAAATATGATTAGAAGGTTGTAAATTATGAATTTATTAATTTTATTATGAATAATTAATTTTAATTAAATTACCCTATGTAGCTGTTGATTCTCTTCCAACTTTGTTTCTAATTGAAAAAGTGATACTGGTGGATCAGTAATATCGTTGTCTATTACACTTAGATAATTATTATTGTTCGATGATAAGCATTCATTCGAAATAACACACTTCTTCGTAATTACGTCTAAATAATAAGTAAATTAATAATTCATTTACTTTTACGTTTGTGAAAATATAACATTACCTATAATAATTTTTTATGTGAAACCTCAATTTTTGATCAGTTTTTTTTTCTTGTTGAATTTTAATTTATTTCTAAAAGTTGAAAAAAGACTTTAAATTGAAAAAAACATTAGTTTAATTCCAAAAACAATAAAAAACTTAAAGTTTTCCATAATTAGTAGTTATTGTACCTTCTTTAATTCATATATGTTAAAAATGTAGCTATTCGGCTTAACATTGAAATAATTAAACGAAGATTAATAGCTCAGTCTTTCCCTTTCTGTCTGTTTCTCTTCCTCTCTTTCTATTTCTTCTTTCGTTAAGTTTTATTAAGATAAGATATTGGATGTTTAAAAAAGAGAATCTTCATTTCTAAAAAATTTACCAAAAGCATATCCCGGGAGGCATTTCATTGTTATCCAAGAGCCTTGCAGACATTTCAAATATTCATTGCATATATCACCAATCAAATACTAAAATTTAATGTTTTTTTTTTTTTTGTTTTTTGTTTTGTTCTTTTAATAAATTACTACTTTAAAAAATAGTAATTTATTAAACTAAATCAAACAATCAATCATTTTGCCAAACATCTCAGATAAATTTTTAAGCAGCAACAAACGTACTTTATTCTTTTATTCTAGCATATTTTTAAAAATTATGTTTTTTCAAAATATATTGAACAAATGTAAATGGAACTGAAGAATGACCCTTGACCTGTCCATGATTGCATTCTACACGCTTGAATGCTTTACAATCAGTGATATGATAACAACGTTTTAAATTTTGATTCCAAAAGTGCCAACTTCACACCACATACTCGTCCACCTCCTTCCGTTGCATATCGCATAATTTCTGCAGTCTTGCGGATTAGCTACCGTATCACCTTCGTCACATCTCTCTTCCGCTTGCCATGCGACATTGTCACTATGATGGCGGCATACTTTACACAATTCTGCTATAATATTCATTATTTGAAATTAAATTACATCCTCGGTAATAATACTATTTATCATCAAAGTTAATCTATAATTAGAACAAAATATTGCACCTACAAAATGTCAATGAATAATATATTCGAATTAACTTAAATTAACTAAATTTATTCAAATAGATTATTTGGGAAATTCATCAACTGAAAGATTTTTGCACAAATAGCAACTGAAAATCTAAACCAAATTTTATTCAAAATTTTAAAAAAGGAAATAAATTATTAATGATAGAATAATTACCAGCCGGATACGCCACACATGACATTTTATGCCATTTGCCACCAGAACATTGATAATAAAATTTACAATCAAAACTGTCAATAACTGCGCCCTCTCTACATGGTTTATTCTATAAAGAAATGTATTATAAAGATATATAAGAAACGTTTTATCGAATCTCTACTAACTGAATTACAAATTTGAATTCATTTGAACAATTACCAAATATGATTTTGTGTTATTGAATTTCGATTTTTCATGATAATTCGTGACACTATCAGATTTTTTATCAGTTTATATGTATTGCAGTTTGATCAGCAATTTCACTTCTTTTGATCTATCTTCTTCGATTTCAATCTTTCGCAAAGAAAAAAAAAACCGATGAAGATAAGCAATTGTTATCGGGAATGCACAATAGCGCTCGATTGTCCCATCGATAAAATGGTGGACAGAAACGATGCTCAACGATACCATTCGACGAACAGATCAAATATTCGTTGCATTTCAATTGAAACGACGTGCCTACTTTACATTTCTACAAACTGACTAAAGATATTACAAAACATCATTTCATTTCTTATAAAATCTTGCTATTTGAATTAAATTTCAATTTCTATCCAAAAATTCCTATCAAATTATGCAAAGCATGGAAATAAAATGATTGAAAGGTGAAAGATAACATTACTGTTTTATATTTGTAAAATTAAAAATACATGAATTTAGAAAGTTGTAGAAATAAAAGTAGTTCAATTTAGAAATTGTTGATAGTAGTAAATATATAAACATTTTGATTTAGATAACAACAAACACTTACAAATGGATGAGCACAGGATGGATCTGCTTGACACATTTGATTAGCTTCAAAATAGATCATTCCAGTCGGGCAGGTACGGTCCTCCCAATGACCATTCTGACAAACAGAATACTAAAAAATAAAGTTTTATTACTTAATGAGATTTTGCAGTAATTCTTTTAAATTTGATAATATTTTTAATCCTGATTGTAATAGAAAAAAGAAAAAATTGTCATTCCTATCAGACTTTTTAAATATTTACCCTAACTATACGATCAAATTTGTTACACCAAAAGAATTTAAAATAAAGATGGTAAAAGAAAATCGAATTAATCACTTCATTGCATGAATGAAGTGAGGTATGTCGTTTCTGGCCATTTTGACACTTCCAGCACTCACTACTAGTCTGATACATTGGTACGCAGCGATCGTTAAAGAAGATGAAACCTTCGGAGCAAACGAATTTCTCTGGTACTTGGTCTCGACAATATACGAATTGTCTGTCACAATTACCCAACGATATCGTTCGCCATTTTCGATTTCTAAAATCAGTTTATGCTTGACATTCGTGAATGTATTCTCATTTCTCTTAAATATAATCATAAATCCACGAAAGATTAATGAAATAAATGAACCGTGAAAAAAAATGTAGTAATGGATTGCAAATTTCACGAAATTTTTCATTAGCATAAAATTATATCATTATTAAAATTAAAAGAAAGAGTAAGGTACTAAATATACGTAATATCTAGGATTATAATTTCTTAAATCTTTTTTCTATATATTACAAAAAAACATGTGGGAAGTTATTTTTTAAATTTATATTTTTAAAATTAAAACTACTTGCATAAATCTGGCATTATGCAATGATCTTTGTTGTTTCGTTGTCTACATTTTCGCAATTTTACATCATAAATGAATCCATTTTCACAATAAATAATATCTTTAATTAATTTGCCACATCCAACATACCTAAATTTTCCTGGCATAACTAATAATTTTAATAAATTGCAAACATTCTTCAGGAAAAAATCTCCTACTCTCTTGTTTTACTTATCAAATTTCAATTACTACTTCAATAATGATATGGCATTGGGATTTACTATCAATAATAGCAGTTAGTACTTTTGCTAAGTTTTTTTTTTTTTCTAATTTGAATATTTTCTTTTTTTAAATAAATGCCAATCATATTTATTTAAATAAGGCGATTTATTAATGCAAAATTCGAAAATTTGTCGTGTCTGTTAGATGTTAGAAATTTGTCGAATAACATATAACATCTGATAATTTCGATATTAAATTGTTCAATTAGTATTTTACTTAATTGATATAAATTTAGAATGCTTTAAATTTTTTATTCTAATAAGTCATTGTTTTCAACGAAATTTTCAAAAATTGAGCACTTAACTTTCCATGCCTTACAAGTTCAAAAACTTTCAAATTTAAAGAAACAAAAGTAATACGATTAAACCAAAATAATGAAATTCACCAACTGGTGCATTGTATCTTCGGAAGCATCATTACTCTGTTATTCCGTTTTGTAAAGTATTGCTGATCACAGTACATTTCAATGGCATGTTGTCTTAGAGGAGCAGATTGTTTCATTGAAATTTTATCGGATGCACAACTTGGAGGATAAACAAAGCAACCGAATGGTCGTCTTAACATTATCATTCCTATAGAATAGTGCAGTAAAGATAAATAAATGAAAAAAATGCTTCAATTTGTTTATTCTTAAATTACAAACCAAAATTAAACATAGAAAACGAACAAAAACAAATAATTTCGCGAAAAATTACTTGCATGAAAAGTTGTTTATAAGTTACCAAGAAAATTTGCACCTATTAGGTAAAGAATTACAGGTATTGTAAGCGACAAATTTAAACATAAATATAAGCATATAAGCTAGTAAAATTTTATGCTTACCTGGTAGACATGTGATTGCAAATCCTTCGTTTTGATTTTTGCAGACATATGCTTGTCGAGAGCATATAATCTTTGGAAACATATATATTCCAGAACCACCATCGTAACAGAAATTCATTTCCTGCAAAGAGAAAAGTTGTTGATGAATGACAGAAGAAGACATTGCACTTAATCAGCTACAAAAAAAAAAAAAAATTCCATTTGTTTTTGATTTGAATCAAATTTGTCTCTATTTTTTTAAAAACAACCATTACAGTAAATGGAAAATTTCATTAAAAATTTATTTAATTATAGTTGTAATAATTATTTAAAATACCTCAAAAAGCATTTCTGTTTCAGAATTAATTTTTCCCATTCGTTGGCTCCATATGTTTATACAATTATTTCGTGGAATTTCACAAAATGCTCCATTAAAAATCTTCATAAAAAAAAATTTACACAGTTTCTAATTTCAACTTTTTTTCATCAATATTTGTTGACGATATATTAAAAGGTTCAAATTTTCATTATTTATTACAAAATTGATTAAATAATAGTGTAAAAATGGCATAGTATAATTTGACGAACTTTTCCAATTGGACATTCTTCAAGAATAGCCAATATGGAATGACCAGTTGAATTATAGAAACATCGAATATAAGCATTGCTACAAGCGCCAAGTGAAATCAATGAATGTCCATCACAAATTTGCTCAAAGATGATCCGTTCTGGATCGTTAGGTTCGTAAAAAATGTTAGAATTCAGATGAGAAATGCAAATAATAATGTAAGGTGATAAGCTAAATGATTTTAAAGAAAACTTATCAAATTATTATATATATTCATTTGATGTGCAATTGTTTGTACTCGATTCCATGAAATTCTTTTCTAAAACAAGTCACGTCTTATTAAATTTCCTTTAAAAAAATGATTGAAATGAGACTGATATGAATGTAGTCCTTGAAATGACACTTTCACTTCTTATCAAATGGTCAAATTTTCCTTCATTTCATTATCTCGAATTTAATCTAATTTTTAACTTATTGTTGATTATAACAAAACACTTAGCATCATTATCTTTATGATAAGCATTGTATTATAATTAATTCTATGCAGTTTTTTCTGGAGTTGAATTCTAACTTACTTAAATTTTAGTCTAAATAATTCAGCTTATATAGCTTAAGGAAGTGTAATTTAAATTTCAGTGAATTTAAAGAAAAATATGTAATTTAAATTTGAACAAATTATTAATAAGCTTTAATGTTTCTGTCCATTTTTCTCTCTTCTAATCAATATTCTCTCTTTCATCGACCTGGTAAATAAAATGTTTATAATTTAATCTGTTGATCAACCACCTAATAATTAGTGGCAATCAGATAAACTTTTATGACAGAATAAAATAAGACTTTTGTCATTTAATGATTTGGAACACTGTTAAATTTATCGATGAAATGAAATCGTCATACCATATATTGTTAATTAATATATTACACTGCAATAATAAACACATTATACTAATACTAATTAGAATTTTTAAAACAAATGAAGCTTTCTTTCAGTCATTTCAAATTCCTATCGATTTTGTTCAAAAGAAAAAAAAATGTAAATGTCATTTTTGATAAATTGACAAATTTCGAAAATTTTTTTTTCATGAAATACCTTTTCAAGAAATGAATAATTACTACCTTAGAAAAATTGAGTGTTGGAATGCAGCAAATAGTGATAAATAAGCAAATTATCAATATGATAAATTTGTAATTTCCCATTTCTTCAACAACTTTCAAGTTAGAAATCTTTGGTATTGTCACACAAATAACTGCAAATTTTTAAAATTAATAACTTCTGGTAGACAAATTCTCCAATAATTTGTTGATTGCATTGCAGCATATAATGACAAAAATTGAGGTTTATATATTTTTGAATGAAATTAATTTAAAGTTCAAAATGAAACAAAAATTTGTTGCAGAAGAAAAAATTCATTCATTTTGATGATTAAGCAATAATTTCCTTTTCTTCTTTTGTAAAAGATTATTATTTTTTCTTTTGAAAAAGTCAAAAAAATCTAAATAATTTTCCCTTAATTGTTATCAATAACATTTTCCGGATGCATCCATCTCCGTTTCCGTTTCCATTCTTTCCCATTTCAATTGTTTTACTGCTTATAAGATAATATTTTTTAGCATTATTTAAATATCAAGAAGAAATTTTATTTTTTATTACCTACTTTGCTTACCAAAAAATGGGAACTATCAAATAATAAATAATTTTAATAATTTTTTTTGAATTCAATGAAATTTTTATATTACTTTTAGTTTTAAAAATTATCTCGATATTCAAATTCCTATTACTGTTTTTCTCTATTGTTTTGATATTTGTTACTTCTAAATTAGAAGTTATTATTTTTGCTATTTTGATTCAAAAGGATTTTTATAATATTTTTGTTTTTTTTCTCACTTTTTAAATGCTATTTTTAATTTCAATGCAAAATATTATATACAAAGTAATATTTTAGTTAATTTGGTAATTTTTTGTGATATTTTTAGTAAGTTAGTATGCTTTTAGCATAATTTTTAATATGTTTGATTGCAAATCACTTTATTTTTTTTGGCTTTGAATTATTTTTTTTTTTGAGTTTTGAAAACTTTTTTTTATCTGTGTCTTTAACTTTACTGATTTATGTTAAATTTTAAAATAAAATTTATAGAGCTTTTAGCTACTTTTTTTCAATTTATTTTTAAAGATTTAGTGTATATTTTTAATATGATCTGTATCTACTGACTGAATTTGTCGTTTTTTTAGCTTTTTAGTTTCTTATTAGAATTTTTTATTTACAGTAAAAAGCTTTTTTTGTTTGATATGCTTTATTTTTTTTAGTTTTATTTTTTTTTTGTTTTTTTTACTCGATGGTAAGTAGGTTTATGTATCTGAGTTTTAAAATTGTTTTAGTTTTGTTTTCACTCATAATTTTGAGATTTATTTATTTATTTTTGGTTCTTTTATTAATATCTTTTTATAGTTTTTTCATATTCATAGTGTAGCTCGTTTGTTTCATCTTATTTTTGATTTCTTTTTGTTTTAAAAATAGATGGCTTAACTGTTTTAGTGATATTACTGATTTCATTTTACTTTTTTAGTATTATTAGTAGTAATAATGTTTTCACTCATAATTTTGTTTTGATTTACAGTAATCATTTGTCCTTTTAAAGTTCATAGTTGAATTGATAAATGAACATTTTATAATTTGTATGATTGATTTTATGATTAACAAAAATGAAGTAAAATATTCCAATTAACTGTGAAAGATAATTGCATTAATTTATTCGCTTTATACTACATAGTAGAAATTCTTTTAACGTAAAAATCCCATTTAAATAATTTAATTGTTTTAGCTTAAAATTCTACTCCAATTATAATATTTCCATAATTTTTTTAAAATGGCTGAAAAAAAAGCAAAAAAAAAGCAGAAACAATATTTAATCGAAACAGCAAATTTTAATTTCTTTAATAAAAGGTATCATATCAAAACCAATTCATTAAATCTTACCTATCAAATAAATTAACCTTGTTAGCATAGCCATACGACAGATAGATAGATAATGGTGTCACTATCATTTTATTTAACAGATCACATTTATCAATGGTATAAATCTCATTTCCCTTTTACAAACATCGAATACAGAAATGCGCAAGGTCACTCCAAATGGCACACTAACAGCAACTCCTCCTTTCATATAAATTTCTCGTCAAACATTTCATTGTCATTTTTAAATTTTTGTTCCAACAATTATCTTCACAATTGATTACATTCTTTAAAATTATCATTTAAATGTACAAAATTCATATAATATTATTTTAGTAGTAAAAATTATTAAATTCATTTCTTGTCATGAAATTATAAAAGCTTTTCTTCTTGTATTTTATTGCTTATTTTATTTATTGATCTCTTTGCTTTGTTTTGAGCAATTTATGAATATGATTTACATATTATGATAATCATTTGTATAGTGATTTATCACATATCTTGTACGAATTTTAAACTTAGCTATATTTAATAGGCTAATTTTGACATAGCTGAGTCTTTTTTTTTTGTCTTGCATCATTAATATTTTATGTGAATTTTTAAAATGTTCAAAAAGAACAAAAATGTCAATTAGTTTAGCTATTCTAGAAAAAGAAGTTTTAAATTAAATTTTAGATAATCGCAATTGTTATTCGTTCGTTCTACTTCACACACTCTGTGTGTATTGTTTTAAAAAAAAAAAAAAGAAAAAAAACGGTTATTTACATTACCTATAATTATTTCAATTTTTAAAGAAATAAACCTTTCATTGGAAATATTTTCTTTAAAAATGCTAAGAAGAAGGGGAAGGGAAAAGAAAGAAAGAAAAAAGAGAAAGACAGAGAGAGAGAGAGAGAGAGATGGATTTTTTAAAAAAAACTGATTGTTGGTTACTTTACGCAGTCTCACAAAATGCATCTCATAAGATTGAATTGTCCTTGTGTGTTAACAAAATAAAATTTTACACAGGAATTTTTTGTTGAAGAGTAAATTGATAGTTTGAAAGAAATGGGAATGGCGCAAAAGAAATGTAATGTCCTTTTATAGGTAGCGCAAAAGTAGAAGTATGTATCTCTTTAGATTTTTTATCTATTCTTCATCCAATTCTATAAAGCGGAAAAAATGACCTAATTTTTGGCATTTTTTAATTTATATTTTCTTTCTTTCTCTTTTCCCTTCTTTTTGTCAATTTTAGAAATTTTGTATCAATCGTATAACGTTTATTTATCTAATGCGCCTTTCGTATTCCATAGGAACATTTTCCGCCACGATCTATTTTTGACACCTTTGATACAAGTTTTCTAAAATGTGCAGTCACTGCAGTACATTTATGTTTACTTATCAATAAATTAATATTAAAGACTGTACTTCTAATTGTGTATCCTTTACATGGGATACAAATTTGAATTCAAACAAATGTATTATCATTTATTTTCATTTGTTTTTGTAATTAATTAGTCTATAAAACTTTTGAATCATAGTTCATATGGAAATTGCTAATTACTAGCATAAAATTGAATCAACTAAATATTTCATCGCCAATTCATTTCCTCTTTCGAGCAATTTGGTAATGATATTGACGATGTTGGTGATATTGATAAGGATAATGATTATATAATGTTGATGATTATGTTGATGACGATGACAATGATCATAAAGAGAATGAGCGAAACAAATAATGATTATAAGAGCTGTGAATTATTCACAGATAAGAATTTAGAAAGATTTACTGATAGGTAATTTTCGTAGCAAATTTAATTCAAAATTATAATTTTAGAGAAAAACCGTAGCGCTATGAATAAAATTTATGCGATGAAATTGCCATGAAACTTGTTTTTTCGTCCTTTCTATTCTCATCCTTCTTCTTCTTTTCATTTCTTTAAAAAGATTCTCAAACTGAGCTCAACATGTTACTTTTAGAAAGTTATAAAAAAGTCGAAGCGGAAAAATAACAATAAAAATTCCTTGACAATTGTGTATAACTATTTCATCACAAAATAAAATACTGCACTTCATCACTTCATTATTAATCCTTACACTATATTTGTTTATTATTACTCTTAGTTATTATTACTATTACTATTACTATTATATTTACTTATATTATCCTTCTTATATTACCTGTTATATTGCTTTCCTCTCTTTTTCATATGACATCTTGCAATTAATTTAACCAATGTGAAATTAAAATGATTTATATCTCATACCATTGCTACTTATGCACTAAGATTATTTAATTCCACTTTGTTATAACATATACCTGCTGTATATATGTGTTGCTATACTGGTAAGTTAGTGACCAATCAATACATCAATAAAGATAAACAGTCAAGAGCTAATTACTGATGTAGATGTAATGATCATTAAACTTTTTAATTCCATTATTTTCATTACTTCAAGTTTTTTTTTTTTTTTGAAATTTAATTAAGTATAATGAAGCTATAATGAAATATGCGCTATTAATGATAACATTTAGAAGAGAAAGAAAGAAAAAGAGGAGGAGTCATAACTGAAGTGAGAAGAAATCAAATTATATTCTTGTTTACACAATAGGGTTAAGCATAAAACACGTTTCTTAAGATGAGGAAGCTGTTTAGGTAAACAACAATATACCTCCTTCCTTCATTCATTTCATATTTTGTTTATTTTCCATCAATCTATCTATTTTTCGCTTGCAGCTTTTTTCAATAAAATTTTCATTCAAATTAGTTGTTATTTTTAATTACAATTATAATTAAATTGTCACATTTTTTTTTCTATAGTTCACCAAAAATACATTTTGTCTACCATTTTATTTTAGTTTTTAAAAGCTTTTCAAAATAAAACATTACTTAGCATTCGTTTTTAGGCACTTCAAAGTTCAATTTTCAATTTGATAAATTTTTACAGAAATTGTCGTTGTTCTTAGCATTTCTTGATTTTTTTTTATTGGAAAGGAAGAAGGAAGAGAAGACTTGATCGATAGTTTTCCTTCCACTATTACTTCATTTTTTTTACAAACAAGGAAAAAAATTCAAAATAAGGTCATTTGCAATGGATGTTATTACACATTAATTAAAGGCATTATTTGTTCGAAGATAAAGAATGTGACTTAAGATTTCATTTAAATTAATTCCAATTTAACATCATCCATCCGTTTCAGTCATTTTTGTGGCTTTTTGTAGTGATCATGTAGAACTGAATACATTTAAGTTAACAATACTGCTT